TCTCACACTGTCACCTGGGCTATAGTGCAGTGGCACTATCTCAGTTCACTGCAATCTCCGCCTCCCAGGTTCAAGCGATTCTCCTGCCTCAGCCTTCCAAGTAGCTGGGATTACAGAGTGCCCACCAATGCACGACCCGGTTGATTTTTGTTATTTTTAGTAGAGATGGGGTTTCACCATGTTGGCCAGGCTGGTTTCGAACTCCTAATCTCAGGTAATCCACCCACCTCAGGCCTCCCAAAGTGCTGGGATTACAGGTGTGAGACAAACGCAGCCGGCCGAATCATTTCTTCTTAATTCCAGTTATAGGATTTCAGAGCTGGAAAAGGGAACTTGGAGATCACAGAGCCACTTCCCTTACTGCCCCAGGGGAAGCAGTGAAGGCCCTGAGACGCAAAGGAAGAAGAAGAAGAAGAAGAAGAAGAAGAAGAAGAAGAAGAAGAAGAAGAAATAATGACCATATAGTGTTCAATATCTCATACCTCCTTGTTCTTCCAAGAAAATGGTCATTGTCTCCATTGTTCTCATGAACATTGACATCCCTTCTGTCTTATTTCTTCCCACCCTCCCACCTTCCCTGCCTGTTTTTCTCCTTCCTAATTATGATCTCTTATATTATGCCTCCTTGTGTTCATTAATGAGGACAAAGCCCTCATGAACTAATCACCTCTTGAAGGTCTTCTTTCTCAGTGCTGTTGCATTGAGGATCGAGTTTCCAACGCATGAAATTTGGAGAACACATTGAAACCACAGCACGAAGAGGCATCTCATCACCCATGTGATGCCTTCCACCATGTTATGATGCGGCATGAAGGCTTTCACCAGATACAGCCCCTCGATCTTAGACTTCCCAGCCTCCAAAACCATAAGCCAAAGCAATTTCTGTTCATTTTAAATTGCCCAGTCCTTGGTTTTCTGTTACGGCAGCACAAAACAGACTAAGACATCTTGGCTGGCAAAATCAGAGAAACAAGCTAGAAAAGCCTGCTTCCTTCTCCAGTGAACCAATTAACAATCACTCACATCTACTGAACATCTGCTATGGTTGTGATAGGCAGTGTCAGGTACAACTACCACCACCATATAGCAAGTGACTGTTCTGTGTCTAGTATGATGTTAGACATTTTGCAAACACCTTTGAGGCCTCGCAACAGCACTCTAAAGGCTTTAGCCTCATTTTGCAGATGCCATTGTAAAGGACCAAACTGTGTAGTCAAAACCTAGACCATTCTCTCCCTTCAGTAAAGACCTGCTCAAGCTGGTCAGACACGGTGGCCCACACCTGTAATCCCAGCACTTTGGGAGGCTGAGGTGGGAGGATCACCTGAGGTCAGGAGTTCGAGACCAGCCTGACCAACATGGAGAAACCCTGTCTCTACTAAAAATACAAAATTACCCGACTGTGGTGGCGCATGCCTGTAATTCTAGCTACTCAGAAGGCTGAGGCAGGACAATCACTTGGACCCAGGAAGCAGAGGTTGCGGTGAGCTGAGATGACGCCATTGCACTCCAGCCTGGGCAACAAGAGTGAAACTCCATCTCAAAAGATAATAATAATAATTGCTCAAGCTCCAAGTCCCTGTAGATTGCACCTCCCTATGGGTGAACTGTCAGTGCAACTTCTGGCAAAGGAAAGACAGACAAAGGACCTACCTTGGAGAGCAGTGGCTGGCACTACAGCCTCCTCAGCTCCTGGTGCTACAGGTGAGGGTGGACATTCCTGGGGTACCAAGGAGGCCACCAGTTTCATCTACATCTGTGGTTCCCAAACTTTAGCAGCATCACCTGGGAATAGAAGTAATTTTTATAAAAACACAAATTTCCGGGCCCTACCTCCAGGATTCTGGTTTAGTAGTCTGGATTGGTACCCAAGAATCTGCATTTCTAACAAGTCCCCAGGAAAACTGACGGTACTAGTCCTGGGATTACCCTTTGAGCACCACTGGCCTGGATGAGAGCTCTTTAAACTTCTTAGATTGCACATCTTAGTATGATTGTGCCATTAGAAAGAGATTTGGTCTTTGCCCCAAGGTCCTGGCATAGAGCTCCTAAACCTCTTGGAATTTCATGAATAGTAGTGTGATAGGAGTGTCTTTTGTTCTAATGAAGAGACTCTTAGCAGACCCCTAGATAGCTTCAGAACACAGCCTGTTCACCAGAAAGACCAAGCCTTGGTTAGAAGGTTGAAACTCTCAGCCTTATCCCTCAACCTCTAGGAAGGGGGAAAATGCTGCAGATTGAGTTAACGACCAACCAATGATTTAATCAATCATGCTTACAGAGCAGAGCCTCCATAAAAATCCCCAAATGAAGCCGGGCATGGTGGCTCACGCCTATAAATCACAGCAATTTGGAAAGCCAAGGAAGGCAGATTGCTTGAGCTCAGGAATTCGAGACCAGCCTGGGCAACATGATGAAACCCAATCTTTACAAAAAAATCAAAAAATTAGCCAGGCTTGGTGGCACATGCCTGTGGTTCCAACTACTTGGAGGGCTGAGGAGGGAGAATCCCTTGAGCCCAGGAGGCTGAGGCTGCAGTGATCCAAGATCACATCACTGCCCTACAGCCTGTGTGACAAAATGAGACTGTCTCCAAAAAAAAAAAAAAAAAAAAAATCCCTAAATGATTGTGTCAGAGCTTCTGGATTGGTGGACACATCAAGTGCTGGGAGGATAATACACCTGGAGAGGGCATGGAAGCTTTGCAGACCACCACCTCCCATACTTTGCCCTATGCACCTCTTCCGCTTGGCTTTTCCTGAGTTGTATCCCTTACAGTAAACTGGTAACAATAAGTAAAGCACTTCCCTGAGTTCTGTGAGTCATTCTAGCAAATTATCAAACCTCAGGAGGAAGTCAGGGGAACTCTCAATTTATAGCCAACCAGAAGTATGGAAGGCTGGGGATTTGTAATTGGTGTCTAAATTGAGGGGCAGTCTTATGGGACTGTGCTCTTAACCTGTGGTGTCTATTCTAACGCCAGA